GTGTAGCCAGAGGTGTACTTACTGGGAATCTGCTAGGGAACACTGCGTATACTAGGGAATGCAAAATATTCAGTGATGCTCTAGAAACTACTTGCTTACTTGTCATCAGCACTGATAGATTTACATAGAAAACTTTCAATATGAATAATAATAAAGAGCTTATAGTGCAGAAACCACAGTAATGGAGAAATAACAAAAAGAGCTGACGGCATATGAGAAGGCAGCAAACAACTGGCAGTCCTGACATCTATCTCAGATTTGTTCTACAAAACAAGCCAGTTGGAGAAGAACATCACTTTAAAAAGAAGAAACAACAAAAGGAAATAGTAAGAAATTTTTAAAATTACATTGATTTTTGTTGTGGTATTAGTGAAGTCTGGCAGAAGTGAGAGGTGACAAATGCAGTTTCTTAAGTAATTTTAGTCTTTGCTCCTCAGCTTCCGTTATTTTTCCTCCAAAGGTGATAAAAATTAATTTTTATTTTCACTTTGTCACTAGAGGACTCTTGGTGAGGATTTTATAATCCACGAACAGAATTGGAAACAACAGCACATCCTCTTCAACAAAAAGAGACAGACAGAACATTTTTTAAAAGTCTTTGCAACACAGACCAAGGAGGGGGGAAGTGCTAAAGCATTTTAAAACAAATTTGGACTAGAGCAAGCCAATGCATTTCTTCAGAGAAGTGCAAAAAATCTAGAATACCTGTTGTTTATGCACTAGTCAACTTTAGACCCAAGTAAATGCTAGCATAATGTCGTCAAACAGAATTACAGAATTAGACCGACACCAGAAAGAAAGACAACAGTTGTAGAGTCCTGGCTTGAAGCACAGCAGAATTTTGCCATTTCCTGCTGCAGGCCTAAGAATGGAGCATAGTTAACCCCTGCACAGAGAGCATTCGTTATGGACAAAACAGTTGCCAGTGGGAGCCCTTTACCTACAGAAAGGCAGGGATATCTAGCGACCTAAGTTTATATATAAAACAAAAAACTTGCAACAACTTGGAAACAAGATAACACTGACATACGATACAAGACAAACTCATTTAGGATGGAGTATATGAGAAGCTCCACGCAGAATTTTAATCTGGAAAACATTTTGCAGGACCTCCTATATTTCTGATGCACGTTATGTAGCCTTCAGAACAGAAATTGTTCATCACATCTGAAAACTTCAGATCCTAAAAATCTTCTTTGACACTAGTAGCACAATACTGTAAGAATTTTTATATATACACATATATATATATGGATGTGAGTGTGTTTTTATGTTTTGTCATTTACTAAATTATTTCTACTACTCTATCCAAAAGTTTCTTCATTACTAGAAGGCCAACTTGCTTTCTGTTTTACTACAAAAAACACATAGGTCTCTTAGTTTAGTAACAGATCCCACTCTAAATAATGTATTTTCCATTCTATCATCTTCTCCTACCAGGAGGCTTTTTTTATTTTTATTTTAGTAAACTAAGGAGAGGGAATGAAGGAGGAGATATGAGGTAATGAACAGCAATTCACCTGATTTGTATACAAAGGAAATTCAAGGAGTTATTGCTGCCTAAAGTCAATTAAAAATATAATACGCAACGCATGAGCAATATATACCCATAGTTTAGCTTCCTGTCTGTCACTAAAGTAATAGAACGGATTAACGCTGGAACAACAACGTGCTTTCAAAGTTTTTCCACAGAAAAATAAGCCTCTTTAAAGTCAGTATTTTCCTTTTCAATTTTAAGAAGTGTCGAAATACACAAACCCGTATCTAGCATGGGCTGGAAAATGAGGTTCTCCAAGAATACTGACCAAAACAAAGTGGATCAATTTTAATACTTTTAAGACTAGAACTTCCAAAGGCAATAAAATGAGACTACTGGGTTTTTCAGGCATGCTAGAAGTGAGGTCACTAAGCACTGTTATACTGCTGGACAGAGAAAATGTTATAGGTGGTTCTCAGAAGTTACTTTCTCAAGTAATCACGAGTATAAAAGCTTAAAATTCTTTAATAAGCAGCAGGTCAATCACTGTGTACTTCAGATTTTTGATCTTCTGAGTCTTTCACATACAAAGCAGGAGCATCTCTTAAATCCTTAAAGATGAGGAACATGAAGATAGCACTTCAGGCTTCTCTTGACTCTCCATCACACAGAAAGAAGTTGGCCATAACCTCCATACACTACAATTATGCTCTTTAAACTTGCTAAGAACAGCACGTTTGCTCAAGAAATAAAAACTAAGTCAGCTAAACTCCCTTTGTAAAAAATAAACTATTCACCTTTGAGGGTGGTTATGCTATGAAGAACAAGTATGTAAAAACACCTTTCGACACAGATTTGCCAAGCCCTTCCTTCCACTCTGGTTTGAAGATGTCTCACTTCAGTGACCAAAAAAATCCCCCGCATACCATGTATCTCCTCCTTGCAAAGCACAAGAAGTGAGCTAGCTGATTTCTGCTAACACCGCTCAAGGAGCACAATTATGAGTCACCAAACTGAATGAAACCCAATAGGTGGGGATATATTGGGCTTAACCCCATTAGCAACAACAGATCACAGCGTGATTTTCACACCCCCACCTGAACCTGAGTACACTTGCTCCAAAAGCTACTGGGAAACAACTACCAGAAAAGCCATAGCTCTAGAATCACTTTTTCATACAGAAGTCAAATCTTTTCAGCATACACACACAAAAGTTGGTATGGCATTGCTAACCGATACTTGGCATGCCTTAAATTCTAATCAGTGTGATTTCAGAGGTATTAATCAACAAAACAAAAAGGTCACAGCTAATGACTGAATGAAAGCAGAACTCAATAAGAGGTGGATGAGTACTGCTTTGTAGGTAGACCTTATAACCCAGAAAGCTATACTAAGAAGTCAGCTTAACAGCTTTTACTAAAAAAAAACAACCACAAACCACAAACAAAAAAAATAGATGCTTTCTGTAACAAAAACTATGAGTCTGTTGGCTGGTTTGATTTTAAAAAAAACTAAATAAAAATTAAGGATTCTGATTTTAGTAAAACCACAGAACACTGAGGCATCTTTTCCTTCCAAATTAGTCACCAGTAGCTGGTAAGAGTTCCCAGGGCTCAGAGAAATCAAGGGATCTTTTTTTTTTTTAATATTGCCCAAAAAAATGGATTGTGTTCTCACATAATCCAGGTAAAATGTCCTTACTACCAAATTATTGACTGTTTCGTAATAGCTATCAAATGACAACTTCCGTTCTGACAAAGCAACATTGTGCATGTCTTGCACAGCGTAGGCAGGTGTGCTAGAACGGTTGGGGAATTTGCTTGGAAAGGTCAGGCATGTTGTTTCACTTGTAGAAAAACAGAAAATACAGTTTCAAAAATTTCCAGGGCCAGAAACTCTCCCCTACTTCTATCTGGAAATGAAGATCCAGGACAATGCATTCCACTGGTCAAATTCTCCAGACCTCTGAAATCTAAAATCAAGGGTACTCTGAATCAAGGTGAATTTTCCTATCCTCTCCTGTCCAGAATCGAGCAGAAAAGGAACTCCAGGACCAAGGAGTTTTACATTTTTAATTATTCTACTGAATCTCTTTTTACAGCCACTGTAAAATAAACCTCCCATACAACACTCAAAAGACCATGCTAGAAACAAAGTAAAATTTAACACGCTCATGAACAACTTCCCCTCACACAAGTGTCCTAAATCGTAAACTGTTTACCAGAATTTCCTTTTGAACCTCATGTCCATATATCTGAGCACCGGGTTTTGTCAAGGACAATTGTCAAGTGGACTAAGGAACTTAAATCACTTTCTCATACGTGAAGTGCCCATGAAATCTCTGATCTGCACTTCCGTTTTGCCGGTACCACAATTCCTCTGTAGGGAGACTTTTAATCCAAACAACTTGGAACGTTACATTTTGTTAGTACAAAAGTATTCAAAAAATAAACATTTATCATAGCCTAAGAAGATAACATCATAAAACACTAAACAGCCAGCACACACAAATATTTAGTGACTATTAAAACTTGCATGTAGCAAAGAATACTACTAACAAAACAAACAAAATGCAGATAGCATTTTAAAAAAGTCTTTTGCAGTAACTTTCCTTGTTACTGAGCTTTATACTACTACATGCTCTCACTTCCTGGTTTGTCATAAACCACACAGTTTTGAATTCAAAGGTGCTCACTGAAAGGAAGCAGGAGGAACGATGAGTATTTTTAGAGATGTTATGAGACCTTTGATAACAGTAGAGTACTTCTGTAAACGCAAAAGCAGCTGTTCTCCTAATGTTTGGTCTCCTTCAGCAAGCAAACATCAACAACTAGCCTAATTGTTTTAAATGTGGCCCAAGAAGTTCAACAGCACACATTGTTTGCATCTTCAGAAGGAAAAGTTGTACCCTCAATTTTTAGTGAGATCCATTATCAAGTATTAAATACATCGGTACTGTATTCAAAAAATTGCAGCTGACTATCTAATTAATGAACCTCTCCCTGACACCCCCACCCTTTGCAGTGAGAGCATGAAAGTTCTGTATACTTGCAAAGCAAAACGGAAACAAAAAGGGCCATAAACATCTTCATAGGAAAAGTTGTTTTGGCTTAAAACAAAAACGTGTATGTTTTGATGACAGTTTGAGTTACTAAATCAACGTTTAACTTTCTTGTTGAGTACACTTGTTGAATGCTTAAACATAACAATACACTTCTGAGCTCTAAATAAAGCAACAATTTCTCTGAAGCAAACTACGGAGGATGCTATCTAAGGTTTCAAGTTGAGAGTTGTTTCAAGTTTAAATGTATATATAGAGGTTCATATGCTTTATTTTCAACTTTTATGGTCTGTACGCAAAAACAACCTAGGTGTAATCTAGTATGGTGAAGTGTAAACATATTAAAAAACATTGCCAGAAAAATAACATCAAAAAAGCATGGGACACTTCTGCACATGTATGCTGGGGTTTGTAAGGTTTGGGGGTGTTTTTCTCTCATGGCCAAAAAGGCAATGGACTTACCAGATTAAACACAGTATCAACTATGTCTCTGTTGGATACTTCGCCAACTTCCACCAGTCCTGTCAGCACAGCAAACTTCATCTTGATACCTCGGATGGGGACTCCCGGATTCAAAGGCTGCAGCACGCTTCCCCCTTCAGCAGCATTTCCTTCTTTTCCTCCTCCTCTTCCATCACCACCTGTTCGTTCAACACCTTGCTTGTCTTCGCTCGCCATGGCTAGTCCACGTTACGACTCGAAACGCCAGCGGCAAGCGCGCCGCTCCGGCGAGAAGGAGTGAACTTTGGGCTCCCGGGAAGGCAA